TTTTATGGCTGCTCTCAAACTGCACCCTATCAAACCCAGTCTGCTCATTTTAATCACGCAGAACCAAACCAGTTTGCGTTTCTTATCATTTTGGGAATAATCTCTGCAGTTTGCCTGCAACAGGCCCACTTATTGCACAGGAAACACACATTTTTGCACACATGAATCTTTGCTGATCAGATTTTGCCTTTTCCTTCCATCCTTCAAATATCCTCTGATTGGCGTCCTTTTGGTTTTTGCTATGACTCAACATTAATCTGTAGTAATGTTTGTGGTCTGAGCCAGTATGAGTAGACGATGGTCTTCCTCAGACATCCGGAGATCTTCGGCTATTTGGAATTATTTGCAGCTTTTCTTACCTTGCATGTTTTGGCGTTTTTTTTTACAGCCTTTTCCTTTGAATGTGTTTTATGTGCTAGCATCACTTTTGCATTATTCAACGTATTTGTAGCGAGCTTGCACCACCTTTGTTTGATTTCCCTTTATTTTCCCGCTGATTCTCGTCTCTGTCCCTGAAAGTCATGTCAGTCCTCAACCCTTAACCTTCTCCTTAAGCCGGGCTTTTAACCCCTGCGGTGTCGTCGTACAGAATGAGCTGTGCTTAGTGATATCATACAGTGAATGCCGGCTCTATGGGGAAATAAAGTGTCTAAAACTGCCTGCAAAGAAAAACCTTTTTCACTGTCATCTTTTGTTTTCTTCTTCCTCTCTAACAGATCAACCTCTGACGATGAGATGAAGGTGTAGTTGTGATTGTCTCCACACAGTGTGGTCCAAAGCATGCATCCACACCTTTATTATTCTAAATTCAGTTTGTTAAAAACACAGATTGAACCCATGGAGTTGGATTTAAAAAGCAGCGTGGATGTGAGGTTTTGGGACGTCACTGTGTGCGTAGGAGCAGCTGATGTGGTGCATGATGTCCTACCTAACTCCTGGAAATAGAAAAGCTGTAAAACGTTTTCACCAACGGCTTGGTCTCTGTGATCTGGTCCTGATCCGGGTCTCTCTTCAGAGACTGTAGTTTCAGCAGGTTTCTATCGTATAGCTGTCCACCATCCGATGTGCTTTGTTTTAGTTTTAGTTTGTAATTTACCGTAAAGCTCAAATGTTTGTGTCGCTTCAACCACAAACTTCAGTGATTTCTACTTCTTAATGATATAAAAAGCAGAGAAAAGCTTTGATGGAGAGGAAATTGACGCATCTTTAAATAGAAATAGTTAAAGTGTACATCTGTGTTCAGCCCTCATAGAACCGTCCGCTCTGAAACATAAAAGCAAACATGCCCAGAGCATGATGCTGCCCCCTCTGTGCTTCACTGCAGGGACGTTCTTCATCTGTTTTCCTTCACACCAGTTTAGACGGACGTAGGAAAATATTACTTTTTACTTTTTTTTTACTTTTTTTACTTTTACTTGAGTTATTTATTAGTAGGAAGCATCAGCAGCACAAACAAAATTTATAAAAGTGAAACTTATTTCAGTCTCACTATTATTAACCTTCCGGAACCTTAAAATGTAAAGATAAATGTTTAAAGTTGCTCCTGCTGGGAGCTCCTCCTGCACATTCGACGCTATAGATAAGGGATGTTAGAATCCGCTGCTCTAGAGCTGCTGTCTGCACCTTTAGGTACAACTCTGCCTTAATCCAACAATTAGGTCCTTTGTAGAACTCTGGAGTTCTTGACTTCAACTGAGGATGTATCTAAAGCTGCTGTCACACCTTGACCATTTAGACCAC